CCCAACCCCCGCACCCCTGTTGTATGCAGGTGATCGCCTCTATTGTCAAGCACTACATTGAGGGGCTGGTGTGGGTCATGAAGTACTACTACGACGGGGTGGCGTCATGGAACTGGTGGGTTTACCAATGTACGGGTGTGGTGTGACGGTGCGGAGGAGCACCCGCTAATGACGACACCGGGGTGGCATGTGGTGTGGTGCTACTGAATGTAAAAGTGAAGGGGAGCGAGCGGGGAGGCACTAGCTTCAGCAAAAAATGCCATGAGCTCGGTGTTGTGGATTGCACTGAGCGCATCGACCCCTGCACGTGGGGGCGGGCGCGCGACCCCGCCGCTCCGCCCCCCCGCCTAGCTCGGCGCACGACCTGGCGCGGCTGCTGCTGCGGTAACCGCCATCCGACGCGCAGACTCGGGGCTCAAGCGCCACTCGACCGCCGCCCAACCGCCGCCCAACCGCCGCTCAACCGCCTTCCCCCAGGTACTACCCCTACCACTACGCCCCCTTTGCCAGCGACTTAGTGGGCCTGGCCGGCATGGAGATTGTGCTGCACCAGGGGACGCCCTTCAAGCCATTCAACCAGCTCATGGGGGTCCTGCCCGCCCGCAGCTCCCACTGCCTGCCGGAGCCGTACAGGCGAGCGCGCCCGCGAGCGCGCGCGAGGGGGTGGAGAGGGGGAATGCAATTGAGTGTGCGGGAGCATTCAAGGGCAGGCGGGGTTTGCGCGCGCGTGTGCGTGTGAGGATGTGTGTGTGTGTGTGTGTGTGTGTGTGTGCGCGCATGTAGTTGCGTGCGCTTGAATCAGCCTGTGGCGTCCGGTCGGCTGCCGCGCCGCCAGACGCGCGCTGCGGTGCGCTGTGGTGCTGCGCGCTGCTCCAGCGAGGGGGACTGTGCAAGCGGGGTGTTGAGCGCGAGTGCGGTGATACCGCCCGAGGAGTGGTCGTGCGACCCTCGCGGGGCCATGAGGCTCCGGCTCTCCGTCCATTATTTCTTTCACAGCCCCTGACACACACGCACGCACCCTCCTACAAAACCCACACGCCCACGCGGGGCCTCACATCCCTAACCTCCCCCGACACCAAACCTCCGCCTGCTTCTGCTGCCCCCTTGTGAAACCCCCAGGTGGCTGTTTTCAGACCCCGAGTCCCCCATCCTGGACTTTTACCCGACAGACTTTGCTGTGGATATGAACGGCAAGAGGTTCGCCTGGCAGGTGAGGCGGGAGCCTGGAGGGATTCAGGGTTTCGGATCAGGGTTCAAGGGCCAGCGTTTGGAGTGGCAGCATCCAGCGTGACTCATACGACGGGGGACCGGCAGGGCGAGGCAGGTTGGGCCTGGGTGTGCAGGTCAGGAGGCGATGGGGGACTAGGCGGGGGGATGGGGCTGAAGGGGTGGCAGAGCCGACATGCAGGGCGGTTTTGCACAATAATCACAAGCACGTGCGGCTTGATGCAGAGTGCTGTGCTGCGACCCGTTTCTCCCCTGCACACACATATACACACATACACACACATGTACATACACACTGGCACAAGGTTTCCTTACTTACGCATGCAACACTCCCCAAACGCATCACACCCTCGCCCCAAATCCCCAAAGGGGGTCTGCCTGCTGCCCTTCATCGACGAGGAGCGCCTCCTCGAGGCCGTGGCCCCCCTGGAGGAGAAGCTCAGCCCCGAGGAAAAGTACAGGTGCCGGCCGCGCCCCCCTCCCCTTGCCGCCGCCGTCTGCTCCGCCCTGCGTCGAATGGGGTCCGGCGCATGCACCGCGCCGCCGCGCCGAGGGTCCAGGGGACGGGGTCGGCCCCGGCGAGGCTCATCAATACACGCATGCGGTCTTGGCGGCGCCAGGTGGCCGGCATCCGCCTCCGACAACTCATCGCGGTTTTCATGTTCACCCTGCTGCCCCCGCCCTCCGCCACCTCCGCCGCCTGCCCAGGAACTCCAAGCGGACTGATCTGCTGTACGTCCACGGGGGCGCCCACCCCCTGGGGGCCGTGATCGCCAGGCTGGCGCAGGAGTTGGGGGGGCTGGGGGATGAGGAGCGCGCGGCGCAGGTGCGTGCGCGTGTGTCTGGATCTAGGGTTTCGGGTGTTGGGGTCTGGGTTCAGGGGCATTCACCTCCCCGGCAGCTCATGGTGCGCTCGCTGCACTCAAGAGCGAGGCCAAGTCCTGCATTCGGAGGCTCCATACCCTACCGCCTGCATATCACACCTCCCGCTGCTGTTGGATTTTCCCCTTTCATAGATGGCAGCTCACTGAGTCCCTTCCACCCCTCGAAGTACTGAATCAATTGCACGCTCACATTTTCATACACTCACACGAACACACACACACACACACACACATGTGCATCTACGTCTCATAACCACCTGCACACCCGCCCCGCACCCTACCAAAACCAATCCCTGCTGCCCCCAGCCCGGGGAGCCCCTCGACCCCGAGGCCTCCCGCTGCATCAACGGCCGCCTGCTGCTGGCCGCCGGCGACCCGAAGCCGCCCGTGGTGCGCGCCCCCTACTCGCTGGGCGATGATGTCACCGGCAACGCGGTGACGGTGGCGGTGTACCGGCTGCCGGAGCACAAGCGGCACGAGTGCCGGCTGATGGAGGGGACCGTGCTCGAGGTGAGGGGATGCCCAGGCTTTGTGCATGTGTTTGTGTGTGTGTGTGTGTGTGTGCTGGGTGTGAGAAACTGTGTGTGGTGGGTGATTTGTGTTTGCAGGTAGGTGGTTGTGCATCCTGTGTTGGTGAAGGTTTGGTGGGGATGTGTGTCTGGGCAGGGGTGAGGGCGGCTGGAGGGATTGTCGATCGGAGCGGGTGCGGCGGAGGGAGGGCGCTGCCTATGGGCTGCCGGCCATTGATGGGCAGCGCCGCCAACGCAGTGCCTCCACACCAGCATCCAAGCGCATGGCGAGCGTCGGGAGCCCCACAGCGAAGCCCTCGCGTGCGCGCCCCACAGCGCGGCACCACAGGCGCAGCTTGCTGCCGGTCGCTGGCCGGTCCTGCAGGGACGGATCCCTCCCCACCCC